GAAGGAGGGATGACAGGGGCTCTGGTGTACTTTTGGAGGCCATGCCTCTCTTGTCTCCCCTGGCCCAGTGGGCTGTCAGAGACGGGTGGAGCATGGAGTGATTGATGGGAGTTTGGGCAGGCTCCTTTACCCACGTCTGTACAGCTGCCCCTTTAGCTCATGTACAGACTCCTTCACACAGCACTCTGCTAGACATTGTTCACCAGAGTGTAGACACACTGACAGATTGATGGAATCAAACACACACACACACACACACACACAACTCACGCACTCCCCAAACGCAGCAGGTCTTGCCTCACGCAATCTTGTTCTTCATTCTGATATAAACCAATCCATTCATACTACTTTCTCTCACTCTGCGGGATGTGTGTTCTGTTTCGGCTTGCTGCCAGTGTTTGCTGTAAAACAACACAAAGCAGCTAAAACTCTGTCAAAAAGCTCCTCTGCTTCCCTGCTCTGGCTCTTATCCGCTGCTACACTGCACTCTTTTGAGCCCTTGGCCTCGCATCTCGCCAGCACTATTAGTGTTGGTCGGGGAGGGCTACACGTGGGCAAGGTTGTGCTTATGTGTTTGTGCATACCGTGCTAAAAAAATCCCCAAGTCAGTGTGACATTTGACACATTTTTACATGACTGAAAGAGACACAAGCATCTTCTTTCTCTTCACTGCGGGCTGCTGTCACTGCAATATGTCAGCCAATATCTGCCAGGACGTGTCTAACACACTTGAACATGGTCCAAGTGTTAAGGCCCGTATTCTAGTCACCGAGTGCTGCGTGCCATCAGAGGCACCACACATTTTTTTTTGTAATGCCACCTTTTGTTTTGTATCGCAGACATTTTTCACTGAAAATGGCATTTAGGTATCGACCAAACACAGCAAATAGATGCTGCAGGTTTAATTGCATTGATTTATGCAAACACCCGGAAGTGCTAAATATGCTAGGTTCAACAGACCACACGCAACATGCATGATAAAAATAGCTCTCTGCATATATGGATTGATGGACGACTAATTGAAATGCATGTGTGGAAAATGTCTTCCCTGCAGCACTAACAGCATTGGACTTAAATAGCCGTGAACAACAGAACACAAGCAGCAACTATTCGGAGGAAGATACACGAAAAAATAAACCATACGAGGATTTTTTCTGAAGCCAACATGCAAAACTTTTTACACTGGTATGAAACAGTTTTATAGCAAGGCATAGTTCAGCTTTGACACACACACACACGCACCCACCCACCCACCCACCACTGGGCTTCGAGATTGTGGAAGGGGTCTGCATTCCAACATAAAACAGATTGGAGTGGAGGCCAAGGAGAGTCTGTGGTGTGGAGCCCACGCCTCAGCTGCCTGTTGACTCATGAAGCAGACCCTGGCTGTGCCGTTTGCACCAATTTGCTCTGAACCTCCCTGAGACAAATAACTGCCACGGAGCTGTAACACACTCTGCCTTCAGTCTCCTGGCAGCTTGCCAGCACACTCACTGCTGCTTCTGCTGGGGTTAGCAGTCCTGATTTGTTCTCCTTCTGCTCATGCTCTCTCTCCTTCTCCTTCGCCGTTTCTTTGTCTCTAGCTCGCTCGCTTTTTCTCATAGTCTCTTTTTATTATTGGATATTGCCGAGCAGAATGAGGAGGTGAAAAGGAGTCAAAAGTACCCAAAATGACAAAAACAGAGGGAGAGACGAGAGCAAGTCCATGAATTAAAAAAAAATAGACACAGAGCTGATGCACCATACTGCCACTCTTGTAATAAGTTAATGAAAGGCAAAGACCACAACAAATAAATAATTACTGTGGCACCAGGTGGTGAAAGAAGCACTTTCAGTCATGGGGCTTGTCATGGGGCTTGCTCAGATCAGCGGGTGGTGGCCATGCTGCTTTTAGACTGTTGCATGCCAGCCAAATATCCTCCGCTCTGCAGATGACCCCAAATCTGTCAGGATGAACCCTGCCGCCTTCAACACATCCGGAGCCCCGACCTCCCCCACTAATCGGAGGGTCAGGGAAGCCAGCTGGCTGCACATGGTGACGGAGATTTCACATGAGCATCAAGATCAATGAGATTCGGAGATAAACTTGGCTGGCTGGAGTTGTATGCAATGGGCCAAATTCAAGTAAACACCCCTTTCGCTACTGTTGTTAGTGGCTGTAAAAAGTAAACTCTGCCTGTGTAGAGGAGTCTGTGTGTGGAGTCAAGGCCCACAGCCAAACATGTGCGGTCAGCACTGTGCAGTCAGCCAGGCCACTAGACAGCAGGCCCTGAGGTTATCGCCTGCTCAAGTGGAGCACTGGGCCGTCCATTACCTCACTTTACCATCTCCGCATCCAGGAAAGGGGAAACAAGCTATTCAGAGAGCTTTTCAGGGGCCTCCTCCACAATGCTGGGTAAAGGAGATGACAGTGACAAGTCACCGTTTACAGTATTCTGCACACATATTGTATTGTGCCAGGGATTACAAAATAAGAGTGAGTGCATTGTCCATTACATTCTCTCACAGATTTGGGTTTTTTGGGGAAAACATGAATGGTATTTAAAGATGCACAGGTTATGGAAAGATAATCCAAATGTTTCAAATACGTTTTAACAATTTCAATGTGGCCTTTCTGTTTCTTTAGTTCTTTATCAACTGGAAGTCGTTGAGCAGAAAGGAAGTTCATTATTTGATGTCACACAATAGAAAAATAATCCTATTTCAAGCCTGTTTGAATACAATTAAACAGGATTCATAGTAAATGTATTAGCCCAGGCTTTGGGTAAAGAGGCTGAGATAGAGAGATTGTGGGCTGTACTGTACATGTGGTTAATGATAAACCAAACAAACTGGGTTAGCTCTCATAGCCTGGCAAAACAGGACTTGTTGAAACTTGGATTATGTTAACAATTGCTGTTGAGTAAGGGAAACTGTAAAAGCCAGGCTCTTAGGATAACATCTACAAAAAGTTGTGTTTTTAGCTTTCAAAGTGAAAACGTTAGAGGCGGAGGACTCGGCAAAGTAAACACAATTAAAACCACGACTTCCTTCTTTGGAGTTTCATTGGAAATTAAAAGCAAGGTTGTTCCCTCAACTTACACCGAGTCTGAGTAAAAAAGAAAAAAATGTCTACAATGTTCAACTCACAACAGTAAAGGTATGACAATCATCCTTAATGACAACAAAGCATCCGAAAGGCTCTAAAACATTCTAATATGTCCTTCATGAACCAGATGTATGTCTCGTAGTTTCTTAACTCTGGAGTTTAAATGAAGCCTTGTAAAGACAACTCCTGTGTTTCTGGCCTTTCTTCTTTGGCAGGGTTCTATCCTGGTTGCTCCGACAATATAATTATATAGTTAGGCATGAGCTGCAGAGACAGGAGTGAGAGACACCAACTAAGCGAGAAGGACAGAGAGGGCTGGAGCACAGTGGCTTGTCATTATGGGTCTGTTTGAACCTTATAATGGGCAGCCCAAACTTGAGACCGAGCCAATGGTACTCTGTGCTCTGGTCCTCACGAGTTCTGCCAAGTGTCTCGTTTTTCGACTTGAGAAACCCACCTTTGAAATAAACACTGTATATCATGTACTGCTAGGCGGGAATACCTTTAGCATCATGACCTGTGGACAGTTATGTATTTTTCTTATATTCCTATTTCATATTCATAATTAATTTGCCTCTAAGGTAGTTTGGATAATTACATTTCAAATGTGCCAAATGGTAATTGGTATTTTCAGAAGTTTGGCTGGCATTAGATATTGGAGGACATATGAGGACACCTGGAAGGAGACTTCTACTCTCAATCCAACAGCTGAGCTCATGGAATACATCATAAAAAAATCCATATTATTATTGGGAAACCTGTAACGGTCTCACTGAACATTTCACTTTGCCAACATTGAGGATGGAAAAAAATCGGAAAAAAGGCATTAAGAGAAGAGCAGTTTGTGGCCTCTGGACCTTCAATAAAAAAAATACACAGCAAGTAGCTCTACTCTATCTGAAGAACACCTCATACCCAAGACCATTACCCCCAAACAGCCAGGAGCCCATGCCCAGCCCAGCAACCCCCCAAATACTCCATATTCACACACACACACACACACACACACACACACACACACACACACACAC